CCAGTGTCCCTGGTGTCTCAGTGCCCCCTAGTCTCCCAGTGACCTCTAGTCTCCCAGTGTCTCACTGTCCCCATGTCTTCTAGTGCCTCCATGTCTCCCAGTGCCTCAAGTGTCTCAATGTCCCCATGTCTCCAAGCTAGTGTCCCTAGTGTCTGTGGCCGTGGTGTCTCAGAGTCCCCATGTCTCAATGTCCCCATGTCTCAATGTCCCCATGTCTCCCAGCCAGTGTCTCTAGTGTCTGTGTCCCCATATCTTCAAGTGTCCCCATGTGTCCCAGCCAGTGTCCCCTAGTTTCCCAGTGTCACTGGTGTCTCTGTGTCCCTAGGTCTCCCCGTGTCCCCAGGTCTCACAGTCTTCCTAGTGTCCTAGTGACACATACATGGGGACATAGACACATTGGAATACTGGAGGACACAGGGAGACATGGGGCATTGAGACACTGTGATACATAGGAACGCTGAGACCTGGAGTAATCGACACATGGGGGCACTGGGAAACATGGGGGCACTGAGAGGAATCCATCTATACAGCACAATCAAACTAAGTAGTTTTTTGGTGATTTAACAGCATTTTCTCTTACATCACTCCTTGTGATTTACATCATGTGATGTAACCCATACATATTTAATTATACAAATTAGTTAGGCCGGTATGTTTTTCCAAGAAAGGTGGCAACCCAAACTACTTTTCACATACTCTTACTTAAGTATGGAAACTTAAGAGGGATGTATGGGAACAAAACTTGTGTGGACTGGCTGACAATGAATATAGTTAAAGGGACACTATAGTCACAAGAACAACTACAGCTTATTGAATTTGTTCTGGTTAGTAGAATCATTACCTTCAGGCTTTTTGGTGTAAACACTGTCTTTTCAGAGAAAATGCAGTCTTTACATTACAGCATAGTGATAACTTCTCTGGCCACTCCTTGGATGGCTGTTAGAGATCCTTCCTGGGTCATGGCTGCCTAAAATGCATCCAAACATTCAGTGTCTCCTCAATCTGCATGCAGACACTGAACTTTCCTCATAGAGAATCATTTATTCAATTCATCTCTATGAGGAGATGCTGATTGGCCAGGGCTGTGTTTGAATCATGCTGGCTCTGCCCCTGATCTGCCGTTTTGTCAGTCTCAGCCAATGCTATGGGGAAGCACTGTGATTGGATCAGGCCACCACTTCTAATGATGTCAGCACACTGCTTGTTTTTCTGAGTCTAACAGCATGCAGAGTTACAGCTTCAGGCTTGAATACAGTAAGATTTTTACTATATTTATGGAGGCATGAGGGGCATAGGGGGGTTAGATGGTGGTGTTAACACTATAGGGTCAGGAATTCATGTTTGTGTTCCTGACCCTATAGTGATCCTTTAATGTAATGCTGAATTTGGTCTCTCTAACACTGTGGCATGTTCCCTTTCTTCTACACTCACTACATACAGCTTTTCTCTGTCCCAGACTACATACCAGGAGCGTCTGCCTGCTATTAAGAAGGTAAGGAGACAAATGGACCAGCGAGTGCTAGGGGACAGTCATTAGAAAGCGTTGAGTGAGCGCATCATTAGATGCATTTATGCCAAGCTCAGGGTGCTGTCTGCATAGTATGCCCTTAGTTGGTCAGCTGCATGATTGGCAGGCAGTCTGACATGCATTCATGCCAGGCTGGCCTTCAAATTCTTTGGGCAGACATGTCCTCTTTTTGGGCATGTTCACCCCTTTTGGCAGGTTACGTGATTTGTGTCAGTGGCACACCCTTATACCTTGCCCATTGACTTCCTGCTTCTCTGGACACTGCTGTTAGGGGTTATGGATTTACTTGAAAGATGAAAACATAAGTTAGAGGGAGATTAGCATAGGGTATGTGTTTTCTTATAGCTGCTGTTTTCTTTCTCTCCAGTACCATCTCCATCAGATACATGACGCTTGGGAGTGTTTTAGTGTTTTTGGTTGATATGATTCTTTAATTAGGCCCGTCATAATTGTCAGCACCAGGCCCACTGGGCTGTTAATCTGGCCCTGGGAAGAGGTACAGTGCTCTGGGTCAGAAAGCAGGAAGAGATACGGTGCTCTGGGTCAAAGTGCAGGGAGAGGTGGGGTGTTCTGGGTTGGAGAGCAGGGAGAGGTAGGGTGCTCTGGATCAGAAAGCAAGGAGAGGTACGGTGCTCTTTGAGATTGAAAATGCACTGCAATAGCGGCTCTGACCAGTAGGCGCTGTGTATGGAGAGAGCCAGGGATAGGATACATCTTATCCCTGCTTCTCTCTGCTAACTGAAACCGCAGGGGAGCAGAACATGCAGCCAGCAGAGACAGTCTACAGATCAGGTAAGAGAGTGATGGGGGGGGAACTTACAGATCAGGTAAGTGAGTAATGGGGGGGCTATAGATCAGGGAAGTGAGGCATGGGGTGGCAGCCTATAGATCAGGGAAGTGAGGCATGGGGGGCAGCCTATAATCAGGAAAGTGAGGGATGGGGCAGACAGCCTACGGAAGGGTCAGCAAGGAGCAGGAAGGTAATGTAAGAGAAAGAGCAGAAAGGAGAAGGAACAGAAATGAGAAGGAAGGGACATCAAGGAGCAGAAAGGGGCAACAAGGAGCTGGAAGGGTCAGCAAGGAGCACAAAAGGTAAAGTAGGAGAAGGAGCAGGAACAGAAATGAGCAGGAAGGGTCTGCAAGGAGCAGGAAAGGTGAGCAAGAAGCAGGAAGGGTCATCAAGAAGCTGGAAGGTAAAGCAGCACAAAGGTAAAATAGAGGGAGCAGAAAGGGTCAGCAATGAGCTGGAAAAAACAGCAAGGAGCAGGAAGAGACAGAATGAGCACAAAGGTAAAGTAGGAGAAGGTACGGAAATGAGCAGGAAGGGACATCAAGGAGCAGAAAGGGTCAGCAAGGAGCTGGAAGGGGCAGAAGGAGCACAAACATAAAGTAGGAGAAGGAGCAGAAATGAGCAGGAAGGGGCAGGAAGGGTCTGCAAGGAGCAGTAAGGGTCTGCAAGGAGCAGGAAGGGTCTGCAAGGAGAAGGAAGGGTCTGCAAAAAGCAGAAAGGGACAGAAGGAGCACAAAAGTAAAGGAGCAGAAAGAATCAGAAGGAGCACAAAGGTAAAGCAGGAGAAGGAGCAAAAAATTGTAGCAAGGAGCAGAAAGGGACAGCAAGTAGCACAAAGGTAAAGTAGGAGTAGGAGCAGAAAAGGTCTGCAAGGAGCAGAATGGGATCAGAAGGAAAAAGGAGCAGAAGGGTTCAAATTAAGCAGAAAGTAGCAAAAAGGTAAAGTAGCATAAGGAGCCAAGGAGGAGAGAAGACAGTGTCAGAAGAAAAAGAAGACTTTGTCAAATTAAGGAGAAGAAAGGGAGATTGGAGCAGGAAGGACAAGTGAAGTGAACCCTCCACTTTATTCTGGATACCACATCACAAGGCTTTGGTACCTGGGCCCCTGCAGGGAAACTTTGGACCTTCTCATCTCCCCAGGTAAAAAAAAAAAATCAGTGTTAATGTGTTCACTTTTATTTACTGAGTGTCAGGAAGCACAGAGTGCCGCTGAGT